GACGCTGGGCGGGAGCCGGCGCTGGGCTCCCCCTCCGCCGCGGGGCGCGGCCCAGCCCCCGCCGCCACACGCACAGCCCCTCCGCTTCCCCCGGGCCATCCTCCACGTGCTCGTAGCCCTTCGGGAACCACCGGTCGGAGGCGGGAAGGGGACGGAGAGGAGGAGGAGGAGGAAGAGAAGGAGGCGGAGAAGCTGTCCTCGCCACGGAGAGGGTACCGGGAGTCTGAGATAAGGGCTTATCGGGAGGTAAAAGTGAAATTTACTCTTCTAAAAGAGACCTAAAGATTCCCGACAAAATTTTAAGAGCTTTTCATAGAATCATAAAGTGTTCTCAGCTAGAAGGGACCCACAAGGATCGTGGAGTCCAGCTCCCGGCCCTGCACAGGACCATCCCCAGGAGCGCACGGTGTGCCCGAGAGCGATGTGCAGACACTCCTTAAACTCTGTCAGCCTTGGTGCTGGGACCTGCGGAGCCTGTTCCAGTGCCCGGCCACCCTCTGGGTGAAGAACCTTTTAACGATAAACCTCCCCTGACACAACTTCAGGCCATTCCACTAATAAGTTTTGAAAATTAACAAGTGTAACCTGTTAGTGCCTGACACACTGATTATTGGATCCTACCCCGACACCACATCCCCTGGCTGGCAGAGCATCTGCTTTCTGTAGGTGTTCCCTCACATGTGGGACAGGTGGAGGAGAACCTCTGAAGGCAGCCTGGCATCGCTTCTGATCAATTTATCACAACTGAATAGAAGTGTAAAACTGTCTGGCTACCTGGTAATATCTGTAGAGTGACTACATTACGTCAATATTAGACCATTTTTTAGCTAAACATTAATAAAACAAAGTAAAGAAAGATCTTCAGAGTAACAAATATGAATGTATGTTGATTGTGATGTTCTAAACAAGATTTATGTTATCTGTTCATCTGTTGTTCCATGACTTTTTGGCCAGTTCCAATCTAATTTGGAGGAAGTCATTATGGTCCTGTAAGTTTTGTGGAAATTGATATGTCACTGAGGATATTTAGTTATAATTAAGCCTATTTAAGGGCTGAAGAATCAAAATTATCAGAATCCCATGGCTTCATTAGTTCTGTTGTTCACAGCACAATTTCTGGAATGGCAGTGGAATACTGGGGAATGCCAGGGTACTAAAAAAAAAAAGCTGACATTGAACATATATTTTTAAAAGGTTAAGGAGGATGACACAGTCTAACAGTTTCACAGTTTGACCCAGATTAGGAGCAGAATCACAGAAGTGCTGACCTTGGATACAGTCATTAAATGTCAATAATTAAATACAAGTCAACATGTTTTTATGAAAAGTATTTGATTAAATGTGTTTGAATTTAACTTTGGTAGATAAAGGTGGTAATGTTGAAGTAATAGCTTCCATCTGATGTGAAGCAGTATGCTGTTCTCATAAATACAATGAGGAGTGCAAATTCTGTGTAGTTCACAGAATCACAGAATTACAGAATGGGTCACTTTAGGAGGGACCACAGTGGGTCATTGGGTAAAACCTCCCTGCTCAAGCAGGGTTGTCCTACAGCACATGGCACAGGATTGCATCCAGATGGTTCTTGAGTATCTCCAGTGAGGGAGACTCCACAACATCTCTGAGCAATCTGTTCCAGCACTCGGTCACCAGCACAGAAAATAAGTTTTTCTTTGTGTTCAGGTGGCATCAATTTCTTCCTGTCGCCTCCTGTCCCGTTGCTTGGCACCACCAAGCAGAGCCAGGCTCCATCCTCTTGACACCCTCCCTGCAGATACTTGTAGAAATTGATGAGGTCCCATCAAGGCTGTCTCTTTTCAAGGCTGAATAGGCCCAGTTCCCTCAGCCTTTCCTCATAATAAGTGATAATAAGATCATAATAAGTGATTCAGGTGACAGTTCTTGAGAGGAGTTATTCTAAGTGAAGATTTGTCATTAGGTTGTATTGGTGTCTTTCTTGGCCTGGTGCTATTATAGATCACTGAGACAAAAATAAAAAAATACTAGTTTGCTCTTATAAATAGAGATAAGAGCAATTTGCTTAGATAAATTCATTTTAATTTGCTTTGTAAGCTCTTCTGCAAAAATACTCCTCTGAAGCCAGTCAAATTGGAGGTCATGCATTCAAAATAAAGCCTTAAAGGGCACACCTGGAATCTGGGAGAATGACTGGCATGAGACAGTGCTAAAGGGGACCTGGACATAATCAGCTAAACGTGAGGGCTCAGAACAAAGTTTTTGATAGCTAGTACTCTGAAGAAAACCAGAGGAGCATCAAATATAACTGGAATGGATATTTCCCCTTTCTATAGTACTGATTAAATCATTATCAAAATAATGCATTCAGTTTGAACATTATCACTTTAAAGGGATGTTAAACACTGAAAAGAGTCCACAAGAAAATTATGAAAGGTGTGGAAGATGTGTGTTAACTTGAGATATTTAAAAAATATAATCCAATGCAGGTGAGGAGGTACTTTTGTCATAAGCATAATAGCACTTGTTTAAGTAGTACTTAGAGATGTTTGAGAAGTGTTGGTTTTCAGAAAATTACAAAACTCTGGAAGCAAAACTAGAATAAAAATGAGACAAGAAATGTGATGCATCTTAATTTGCTATAGGATCAAATTGTCTGTGAAACTCTTTTGGAACAATGCAAAATTGTCAGTAAAAACATGGAGTTTTTTTCAAAGATACAATGTAGCTCAAGCATAAACAGCAGAATATATTGGTACAATATGGAGGTGGCACAACCAATCAGCCAATCCTTTCCTTACACTTGATGATTCCAGAAAAAAAGAAATCTACTTGTATAACTGCAAAGGAAGGAACAGGATCACAATATTTCCAAAAAGAAAGATTTTTTTTGTGTGTGTGTGTGTGAGTTCTAACAGACAACATCTGAGGAACTCCTGGCACGTTTCATTGTGAACATGATGTTTGTGCCTGACTATCCAGTTCTTCTACAATGGCTAATGTGGTTTTCCAGACAACCCAGCAGTGCCTTCAGAGAAGTCCAAATCTCCTCAAGCTAAAACTGACAATGCAGAATGCTATGTCACTCATGTAAAGATCATCAAAGGAACAAGAGTTCCACCTTCAGGTCTGGGAAAATACTACCTCTGATGGCAAAAGATATCTCAGGAAAAAAAAAAAAAGAAAAAAAGAAAGAAAAAAAAAAGCTTAGACTGAGTTAGACTTCCTGAATTACAAACAGACTAAGACTTTTATTGCAAGTCAGTGATCGCTTCTGAGTGGCCTCTTACAGAGCTGATGACTGTGTACATCCCTATATAGTTATCAAACTGTTCTGTATTACCAGTAAACATGTAGGAGAAAATGATGGAGAGTCCTAGAAAGGCACAGAACTTTGCTATACATCTGACTAAGGAAGAGCTTGCAGCAGTTTCTTTTTCCACATGAGATCATTCATAGTTTTCAGATACATGGTTTCAGAATGTGCAATTAATTTAACATGCTTAGCTCTATTCCCAGCAATCTTTCTTTACACACAGACTCTCAGATAACTCATGCTGAGGATATTTCAGTGAGTGTTGCTTAATAGACACAGAACTTCCAAGATGCTTACATTATGTTCCCAAAGATGTATCTTTTTCCAGTAGAGCGTTTCAAAATTCTGTTGCCTTTTTCAATGCATTATTACTACAGAGACACTGATTTCACTGTCCAAAGGCTTGTGCTGGCAAGAACCACTCATAAAGTTTCCACTGTGTCATGGAAAACAGCGTTACAGTGAACACTGCTCTCTCTCACAGTCTTTCAGGAGCACAAGCTTCTTTGAAATGAGATCTCCTTTTAACATACATCCGTGGAAAAAAATCAAGCTCTTTCCATAATTCTTGACTGAGGGACATTCTCTGGAATATGTGGCAGTGTTTTATAAAACCATATTCTTGATGTAAGCAAAGTACTGGGGGTTAATTTGGGGGCAAACTCCTTCCTCTCGCTGGCAAAAGTTGTGCTATTATTTTTGACAGATGCTAGAATTCTGATCCAAAGTTCTTTCTGTCTACTTTGTGGCAAAATCATCTCAGATTTGGTTGAGGATCATTTGTATAGTGTTGCAGAAAGTAGGGCTCTCAAATGGGAGTGAAATGGAAAAGGTTTATTGTACATTATATTTACGGTAGCAGTAATACTGCAGTAAAAGTAGGAGAGAAAGAAATGAGGGCAAAGCAGATTCTATTTTGGTAGAAGCACTTCCTTACTTGTTGCACTGGTTATTTGTGTCTTTTCCAGCATATTCACAGGTCTCACAGTGTGACCTTGATGCAGGAATGGTTTATAGTACCTGCCACTGATGTGGCCCTGCAAAGGTCGTACAGGAAAGCCTGTACAGAGAGGATGGTGGGTACAGAGACTGTCTACAACATCTGGTCTGCAGCAGGATCTCCCTTCAGACAAGAGCAGGGTGAAACAAGCATCACTAGCTGGTGGGAGCTCGTGTTGCAGGCACTTAGGGAATATGCACCTGTGGCACTTTGCCTGGGGTGCCTTAGGTATCTGCTGCTGGCATAACCAAAGGAGGTAAAACATTAAAATTGTACTGCTGGGGTTGTGGCCATACGTGGGAACTTATCCATGACTAGAATTTCATTAAAATCCATGTTTGCTCTTTTCTTCCCAATGTCTTTTTGTTCCCACAGAAGAAGATTTCTCCTATTCAGAACTACTGATCAGCTTTCAGCATGTGCTGTAGCAATGGTTTATGAGATATTCCCAGTTTTGTTTGTTGGGTCACCTAAGCACATTTGTTTCAGAAGAGGGTTGAGCTCACTCAGCTTGGAATCACCTTAAGCTAAATCCTGACATGTTACTCTAATTAAAAAAAACCCCAGGAGTTTCCAAACAAAGCAGTTTTCCCAACTAAAGGAAGTTGGTCCTTTTCCTTGGGGTTTTCATTTAAGACCTTAGAAATTCTCTATCAAATCTTAGTGCCAATCAAGACAATGGCAACATTTCCATTAAAATCAGCATGGTGAGGATTTCATTCTTTGTCGAGGTTCCAATGCTTCCTGAGTCAAAAGAAAAAAAAAATACTAACTATATTCAGGGATAAAAAACAGAAAATGGCAAATCAACTGAACAAACATTCATTCATCCATCCAGTTCATCTGTGATATTTACCAGAAAACATTCCTTTTCTAAAACCATTCAGCCACGAAGGAAGGATTCAGGATGTCATGTAATTGCAGAACCAGAGGTGTAATAGCATCATCTTACATTCATAATCAATTTATATTAAAATCTTTTTTAAAGCCATTTTTAATTTTTCTTGCTTAGTTAGGAATGTGCTTCTGATTCTGTTTCTCTAACATGAGCAGCTCATGAACTGCCTGTTCAATAAAACCTTCAAGGAATTTGAGAAAAAAAAATAAAAATTAGAGTACTTAAGTTCATTTAGGGTCCTTTTCCACTGACTTGATGTTACATGTTTGCTTTTAAGATTTGTAGAGTTGTCTTTGCCTTTTCTCTCTCCCCTTATGGGATAACCAGAAAAACCTTGTTCAGCTCGGCCAAAGAGGTTCCTTGTTCTGAGAGGTGAATAAATAAGGGTGCAGGGAACCTTTCACTACAGCAGGTTTCTTAGACCTCCACCTAATATGGTCTTGAACACTTCCAGGGATGGGGCATTGACAGTTTCTCTGATCCTCAGAGAAAAGAATGTCTTCCTAATACCTAATTGAAATCAACCTTCCTACAGTTTAAGGCCACTGAGTTGACATCACATTGATGAGGAATTTACCTGTCAGTACAATGACCTATTAATCACACTGCTGATTCAAAGGCCTTGTGTGCCGCAGAGCCTTGGATTGTCTCCAGCAGTGGCCGCAAGTGCACGGTGAGGTCAGAGTAAGAAAGCATGTGTGCTAGTTCCTCTTTCTTATTCTCCCAGCCTTCGCCTTTTTTCTGGGCGGGGCTTCCTGAACCAGAATTGGTTTGGGTAATCAGTAATCTTAGTGGATCTCTCTTCCAAATGCTCAGCCAATCTCCCCTAGAAAGAAAGGCTCTTTGGGGCAGAAAGGTCCTTTGGCAAAGATTTTCACAGGTCTGCTGCTGTCTGTATAAAGAAGCTGATTCTTCTGACAGTTCATTGCTGTCCAACTTCTTCTTGCTACTCATTGCTCCAATGACCTCATTTCTGCTCTGCATTGCCTTTTCTGAGTCTCAGATGCTCCTTGTGGTCAAGGTACTCAATAAGTTTGATCAATCATCCTTGTCATTCTTCTCTGTGCCCTTTCCTTTCCCTTTCCCCCAGAGCTGCACACAGGATTCATTTTCTGGGCAAATACATGTTTATGCAAGGTTATAATTTTATAATTGTATTTTCTATTTTGTTGCCTATTACTCTACTAACAACTCCTACCATTTGATGTATCTGTCTCTATTTTTTTTTTTTTTAAACCATGTCTGAGAAGTTTTACTGCAAGTCTTCTTTCATACCTCAAACCCTTACTTTGAATGGTAATGGCCAACAAAATGGTTGTCTCCTTGCCTTAGGAATGGGCCACACAGTTGCACTGAAAATTATTGAAGGCAACATAATGAATAAAGCAATTTACAGAGCAATACTTCCGCTCACAGGAAAGTCAGGGTGAGTCAGAAGTGAAGAGAAAGAATGGCTGAGATATAGTTCAGAATCTATTGCTAGAAAGTATCTGTCATTTCTAATACATGGCAAGTGGTATACAATTTTAAATGTAACTGAGAAATTATCTTAGCAAGATAAAAATAGGTCATAAAATATTCTTTCTCAAATGAGAGACCTCTTTGGCTGCTTTGATTATTTCTGTCTTACACGTTTTCCAGGATCATCAAATTCTTTGCAACAAAGGAACCCCTCATGACCTGGATCTTTACAGTGATGCTTGCTGTTATTATATTGAAAAGCTTAATTTTCTTCTAGCAGAAGTCAGACCCTTTTCTCTGAAAGACACAAAATGAGAAGGTAGCCAAAATTAACTCCTTCACTGTCTCCTGCTTCCTTGTAGGTCATAGATGTATCTATGCCATAAAGGGAGATGCTGGCATAAGACAAATGGCTTAAGTTCACATTTCAAACTTGTTTCTTTCTTCCCTGATAGACAGTTTTAGTGCACAGGTGTTCATCAGCACTTACTGAAAAAGAAAATCGATTATCTAGCATCAAAGATGCAAAGCTGAAGGGTATCAACTCAGTTGTGAAGTCAGGTAGATGTTTACATTACTTCTTATGCAGTGCCATGTGTGCACTGAAACTGTGAAGTGCTCAACTTCTGTAACAGTAGAGACTGAAACAACTGCACAAACAGATATGCAAAGAGACTTGATTCCATAGTAAGAAGTATTTTTATAAATAATCTTTGAATCTTATTCTATTTTCCTTTAATATGGCAGTAAGAGTACGAAGACCTGAAGTTCAGTCTTTTAGAGACAAATCTACTTTAAAGTTTTGTCTCAGAGAAAGAAAGCCTCTGAAGCCTATATTACTTTAAAATGTGGTTGAAAATTTGGTTTTCTTGATAAGTACTTTGGGATAAATGTTCAGCTAGCTATGTGGAAAATTAGCAGTATTAGTCTATTCTCTGCCCCATTAGTCTAAAGCTACTACTAATTCCCTGCACATCATACTGAATATTTACATCTTTGTTTAGTATTTAGATGAGCCATGATAATATTGTTTTCTCCCTGCTGCAGTTTTCTGTAATACTAAAAGGGAAAACATAAACATGTAATAAAGACCATTTTTCGTTAAATGTGTTCAATCCTATTTAAAAGATAGTATAATTACAGTTTGAATTAAACCCTAAATTGTGACTAAAATGGCTTCATTTCATATCTTGGAAATAGCAGATTGGATTAAAGCTCTGTGGGCACTGTGAATGTAGATAATTTCTTTGTGTGCAAAAGCTCTGAGTTTCAGAGAAGCTTAAGAGGGGCATTAGCCTAACGCTGGGGTGGTACAGAGAGTGAGTTATATTAGCAGTTTTAAATCTGGTGGCAAATACTGTCCACAGGATGGATTTCAATCATTTATGAATGGTTGTCTTCTACATCAGCTGCAGACAAGTAAAACACTGGGAAAACAAAACAACTCCAATTGTTGTGTTGGCAACATTGCACATTGATTGCACAGTTTGAGGAACATGATTGGATCTTATTTTCAGTCTATCTGACTGCTTCCTGCTGAGGGTCATGTCTGAGCTGGACAGCAGTCCCAAAGTGAACTGAATGGAGGTGATCAACTCAAAATAGCTTTTATGAGCCCCAGGTTTCAAAATAAACCAAGACAACACTTCTATTGTTGTCTAGCCAAGTGCTAGTTATCTTTCTTTTGCAGGTAGTTTCTTGGGTTTCTTAGCTGGTCCTCTCAATTGTAACTTTTAATGTGACTCTGATTATCTTAGGATTTTATTGTAAATATTACTGCTCCACTGCTGTACTTATTACTGACTTGTCCAATAATTACTTATTACTCATTACTTATTACTCTCTTGCTTTGTCTACAACAGAACTATGGCTTAACAGTAATCATTGCCATCATTTTCCGAAGCAATTCACCAAAAATTTGGAGGGAGAGAGGATCCAGTGCCTCAGGAGATCACCACTGTTCTTCTTGATTTCTCTTGTGAAAAATAATCAGGCTCTCTCCACCAGTCCCCTTCACTCCTCAGCATTAGGCCTTGGAAGCAAATGGGGAATCTGCCAACACTTCCACTTTTAGTATTAGAAAAATTAGAGGTAAGACCAGGACAAACTTGATGTGGAGCGTGTTCTAGGTACGGGGGCTGCAAGAAGCAGGCCAGAAAGCGATGCAGTTCCTGGATGAGAGCAGAGGACACCTGATCTGCAAGGCAAAAGGACTACAGTGAAGGTAGGAATGAGTTCAGATTCAATTTGTTTGTCTGGGAAGTCTAGAGGACATATGGGAGGAAAGTAGTTCAAGAACTAAGCTAGAGTGAGCATTAAAATTTTGCACTGGTGTGTTTCTAACACACACACCTACATCCTAAACAACACACCTAATGCTGTGTGGGTTAAACTTCTGGTTTGGGATTGTGACTCAGGGCTTTGTCAAATTAGAATTTGGCTCTCCTAAAAATGATTATTAGCTCTTTAGTGAATCAGGTGAAAAGATTCCTGTAGACTGCTTTAGGCTCCAATTACTCTGTAAGATTTATGTTAATGCATACATTTCTGCCATTTCAGGAGTACCTTCAAAATATATTTCAGGAGAACAAGTTAGTCTTTTGTGAACTCCCTCACTGTAACCCTCTGTCCTCTATGACTTTATTTCCAGCATTACAAGAATGGATCATGAAAAGCTGTCCCACCAATTGATGCTCTTCATGCAACACCCAGCTCTCTACCAGTGGTTGCTCCTAGGAAAAAAGCTGCGTGCAGATACAAGTGGAGGAGCAGTGAAGTGACTTGTGTTTCCTGTGGAAGCCTGTCTTCACAGGTAGTTCTGCAAAGAGAGAACATAAGTGGGATGGTAGTTTGGCTCTGCATCCTTTGGATAAGGAAGGAGGTTTTCAGGGAGCAGTAGGATGAGCTTGCTGATTGGAATGTTGGGATCTGCCATCTTCCAGCCCACACCCTACATGTGTTTCTTGTTATTAATAGCCTTGTTCTTTACATTGCCACCCTCTTCTCTCTGTCCTTCTTGTTCCTTCTCCAGCTCTGTTACCCTATGGATGATTCATCCCAGCAGCTTTTCCTTCTTTTCCACTGTCCCAATGCCCTGGGTCTATACTGTACTACCACAGACCTGGAAGCACTACAGCAGTGCTAAAAGCATTCATAACAATACGAAACAAGGACAATATTGTAAGGACAGGAAGAGGTGTCAAAGATACATTTTCACCGCCACTATTAGCAGGATGGAGTCTTCTGTAGTTTTGTTCTATCCACTCAGTTGTTGAAGCAACTTCCAAAGAACAGGCAAGCTGCAAGATATAGTGACATTTCAGAAGAAAATGATATGAAAAGTTAAAATTATATTGTCAAATGTTAGATAGATGTAATTATAGAAATGTATTTATTTTATCCAGTTGTTTTATTCTTTTGTGGGTTTGTATGTTATAAAACAAACTGGAAACAACAGAAATTCAAACTATATAAAACTCTTTGACTCTAACAATATATCATTTCATTAGCATGAGGCATGAAGAATGCAGATATTATGCTTTAAAACTCATATTTTTCAATTTAAATTTCTCACATAATGGTCACATTTTATCACAGTAAGTGGGAATCTTGCCATTAATTTCAGTCACCAGTATTTGACTCATTTAAGAATAAAAAATATCCTATTTCAGTGTTGGCATATTGGAACTCACGCAAAATATCATGATTACACAGCATAGATGCGTACTTTAGAATTTAGGTTGGGTTGGGTTTTTTTATCTTGCTTCACACTGCAGGTGGGCTCTGTAGTTTTTGTAGTGTTTCTTCCCTAGATTGATGTCCAGTCCCTCAGCAACCCTTCAATAGACATTTTCTGCTAAGGCAGGGTGTTATTTGTCACTAAGTGCATGTGGATACAAACTGAATCATCAAATCAGGACTTTAAAAAGCAAGAGGGAGAGAGAGAGAAAATGAAGGTGATTGCTCTGTATGAGACAATTAACACTGGGACCTTTAAAAAATGGGGAAATGGTAACTCCTAGAAGATGAGTTGGATATTCATGGACACAAGCAGGTTAGCTGCTGTTACAGATAGTGCAAAACAGAAAGCTTTTGTAGTTTTTCCCTGCCTGCTACTTCATTTAATCATTTGCAGCAATGAGGAGTGACAGTAAAGGCACATACAGGAAAATCAATGTGATAATGTGTATATATGTATTGCACGGCATCCGTGAATGCACCAGAGGTTTTCCACCATCTACTGCTACACTTCTGTCTTATAAGAGAAAATGGAAGCATAGTCTGAATAAAAAGAACAGTGGGAATCAATCAATTTCCTGCCAATGTGCAGACATCTCTATTGACAGTCTTTAGCAAAATTACAATATGTTGTCCATGATCTGGGTTTGGCAGAGATGGCTGATGAACCTTCAAGGTAATGTGATGATTTTTTATATCTACTTTTATTTTTTTTCTCTAACATAGGCATTGTTGCTGTGGTCTGTGACTCAGCTCCCTCTTAGTTACACTGAAGGTTTCGAGAGACTGGGCAGTTGTAGGAAACATTGACTGAAAGGTGACTAGAAAGAGGGGGAATTTTATCACCTAATACCAAAATTTCCCTGACACGCCTTGTGTGTAGAATTTTTACCTCAAACTTCCGGGCTGCAAACCTAAATAGCACAGCTCAAACATTCAGCTCAGAGGGGGAGTTTTGATGACAAACTGAGTGTGCAAGGTGAGGGAGAACTATAGAGCAAAAAGATGATTAGTCAGACAAAAGCAAAAGGCTGAGGCCAAGGGAAAGAAGAAAAGTGTGAAACCAGATTTCTGGATGTAAATCTGGTTGTAGTGTAATCCCCATCATGCCAGGCTATAAGGTAACACACTTGGAGCATTTTTGGGGTCAAAAAATGCTAAGATTTTTTTAAAAAAATGAGATTTTAACAATAAGCAGATGCTTAGAAAAGAGAGGCCAAGTGAGAGGTGCAGCAGGGATATGGGTGGCCCAGGTGAGGGCAGGTGTCCTGAGGTGCAGGACCTCAGGGCTGTGCAACCTGAATTCCAGCAGCAGATCAGGGTTCACCTTCAGCCTTTACTTTGATGCAGGCATTGATAGGGCTTTTGCTTTCCCCTGATTGTCCTGAAACTTGGAAAGGATTTTCTTCTTTAAAATCTCCACTTTCCCATTGTATTTGGTATCACTCAGTGGGCTCTGAGGGACAAATCACAGCATTAGTTTTGTTTGCCTAGAAAACCTGGCTAGAGGGGATATGAAATAATATTATAGATGTCCATGGCACAGGTGGCTGAAGTAAAACAATTTGAAGAGAAAAAGATGTTCTTGGGTTTAACCAAGATGGATTCCTGTGGCGAAAAAGCATATTTTTCTGTAATTGTGGACTATATCATAATGCTTATACAGGAGAGAAAAAAGTTTCTTAAGGCACTGAAGATTCTTCTTTACTCTTATTTCCTAACTTCTAAATGCTTGACTACAGCTACATAACTTTTTTAACAATTTTTTTCTGAGTGTGTGAAATACATGTATAGAGTACAGCAACTGTTCAAGTGTGAATTTATTTTTAAATAGAGTTGACTCCTTTTATTAGTATAGGTGCTATGGAAGTAGAAACATTTCTATATTATCACCATCTATCTTTTGAAAAAGAGATATATATTTTTACCTTGGCAATTCTGGTAGCAAGGTGGAGGCAGTTTTACAATAATCTGAATATATTTAAGGTGTGCAGTTCATTTTTGTACCTAATGAATAACTGTGTGCCTGAGTGGGTGGATAGAAAATAAGAAGCTTTTGGATCAGATAGAGAAAGTGAAACATGTTACATCTATGCACATAACGTAGATATTTCAGTACATTTGATAAAGCCACTGTTAAATACCATTTTTAATGCATGTGATGGCAATCGGTTTCCTTTGAAAACTGTGATTCTGGGGGTGGGGAGGAGAAATGTCTGTACCTTTCCAAAAGGAATACAAGTGTTTCATTTAATTAAAGCAGAAATCACATTATTTTGCAGTCAGATTTCTCCTATGGCCCCTGCGGTGCTGTAGGAAGCGATGGAACAGAAGCTGGCACCGGCTGAAAGCACTGCCAGCAGAGTGGGTGCTCGCTGACGGGGCGGCACCGGGTTCTCCTGCACCCACTGGAGTCCAGCACCTTTGCTCTGCAGCTGCCCTGTGCAGCTACAAAAGACAGACTACCAAACGCTTTGCTCACACACATTTGGTAATTAATAGTGAAATGACGACGAGGAACGCTGAGGCAAATTAAGAAGCGCGTTATCAAGAGAGTGCTGTGGAAATGGTCCAACAGTCTGCACCAGGGAGGCACCAGGCACAGAACAGGAGGAGACCTGCAGAGATGTCTGAGGTTGCACGTAAGAGTCTTCTGCCCCATTCCCATGCAAAAGGATGGACAGTTCAAAAGCACCTGTCAGTCCTGCTGGCTGGGAGGTCTCAGCTCCTGTCAGGGCAGCTGCTGTCCCTGTTGCCCAACTAACCAGCAACTACAACTAAGCAGCTAACCAGCTAGAGTTTGGGGAATAAGATGCTCCCTGGTTACCCAAAAGTCATCTTTTGGGAGGACTACAGAGCTTTGCTTCTTTCAAGCTGCCTCATTTGTGACCTGGTGCGATGAAATTCTCTGTGTTCTTTAGCGCTTCCTTGGTAAAACCAGCAAAAATTTATCTGCAAGGGACATTATGTGTTGATATAGAAAAAGTTAGCATCCCTTGGGAATTACCTGTGGTGGCTGCTGTTCCATTATTTTCTCCAACCCTTCCTTTGGCAACAAAAAGGGGTCCTTCATTCATCAGGAACATTTAGGTTGATATAGATTATCTAGAAGAAAAAGAAACATTACATACTACAATCAGGGTGGCATTGATTAAGTTGTGTTGGTTTTGGTTTTTTTTCACCTGTGTGATTTTGATATAAAATATGAAACATGATTCCAGCAAACCCCTTCTGAAAGACCCTATGGCCTCAGAGCTTATAGTCTTTCTGTGTGCTGTGCCTTTTAGAGCAATTTCATCCAGCCTTTGTATCAGCTTCCACTGAATGTCTTAGAAATGTTAAAATCATCTAATTCAGCATTATTTGATTGCTGCATATCAATACAGAGAACAGTGCATTGCAACATTCCCATCCTTTGTGAAAAAAAAAGCAGCATTAATAATGAGAAAGGAAAATGAAGTGTGACACTAAATTCAAGAGGCTGTTCATTTAAGCAGCTTCCAAATGAAACATTTGCACTTTGTGAATAAATCTACATCCTGATGCCTGATATCTGGAGCAAATCTTGACACACCTTGGGTATCTTCATGTTTGGGAGATAGATCCAGTTTTAAGGGTAGAGCTGCCACTTTCCACAGGTTTGGCTCTCAGAACTCTCTTCTCAACAGGGTTGCATCATGAATTCTGCACTCAGTAGTTCATGTTTGTGGAATGAATGAATCCTGGGAAGGAGACACAGCAGAGGGAAAACAGATATGCTATTTCTTGGCTTCCAGGTCCCATGTGAGCTATTAATTACAAAGCAATCTTAAGAATGCTGATATCCGTGTATAGCCCCCTTACCAAAATAAACTTTCTCCAGAATACACATACACCATTAAAATTCAGATATAATTTCAACATATTGAAATATTAATTTTAAATGCATTGCCCTAGGATAGTATAACAGAGGGTGAGGCATGGGAAAGGGAGAAGTACCAGGGGAAAAAGTTCATGACAGAGATGGATTACTCTACTGAAGGCTTGCCCATTTTCCTGGTTCTATGTCTCTCTCCCATGGATGCCTCGGCCACAGCAAGTGGAAGGCTGCTGCCCAAGCTTAGTACACCCATAATCTATGCAAAACAGCTAAATCCCAGCCTCAGAGGGTACCAGCAATTTTTAGCCAGAGCTAGATTTAGCATTTTCAAGTCTTCAGATCATTTCCATTTTACCTCAGACAGGGATGTGGTCAAGCCATTGTGTGGAAAACATTACTTGAAGTTTAGGGAGGGACTGGTAAACTGATATTTGTAGAGAAATTACTCTAAATTTTGAGATGTGCATGTTAGAAGGAGAAATAAGCTCTTTAGATCATCCTTGCTTCCCCTGACTGATAACAAACTACCACCATTTTGAAACCTAATGGTTAGTTTATTTATGCTTTCAACGTTGCCTCTGGAAAAAGAAAATAGAGACAGAAATTTGATTTTAAAATGACATATCTCCAAAACTGATGGTATTTAGGATGCCTGTCACTGAAAAGGTAGTGCTTGAAATAAATTTCAAGTGTGATGTATATCAGGGTAAACCTCAGAATTTTCCCAGATATTCTGAAAAGTCTAGAAAAAGAGATGGGTGCCTGGGGCCCTGCTTAGGCATCTGTTTGCCATATGTTTTCACTGAGGAAATAAAATAAAATGTCAGAAAATCTGCAAGAGGTAAAATGTAGGAGGCACCAAACTAAAAATAGCAAGGCTTACATGGAGACTGGACAGCTGGGTCTTCATGGGCTCAAAATGGAGTACAGCTAATGCAGTTCCTACCAAGTGCTTCTGAAGCACATTCTGAAGCTGGTCCTCACAGAACCCATGGCTGATCCACAGACCTCCCCCAGACACAGAACAAGGAGGAAGACTGGATTGATTGCCACAGTTGGATACGGGAGACATTAGAGCAGCAAGTTAAAAAGTTATGTGTGTCTGAGGTGCAGGTGTCAGACATGAAGGGAAACTTGTCATGATACGGGGTGCAGGCTATCATGACACCACCCCAGGGGAGAGAAATGTCAGCGTGTACTGACCACTACAGACCACTGGCAGTGAAATAAAGCAAAATATTGAGGGCTCAGCTAGATGGGAAACCACTGGAAAAACAAACAAACACAGGTAAAAATCGCCAAAGAGAACGTTATGGGAAAAAAAGAAGAGAAAACTTGGAGCAATAAGGGGGAAACAGCACAGAAATTGAAATATAAATATGTACAATAAGGTGCATAACTGTATACAAAAGCTGTACACAAAGCTCATTAAACCTATTAAAAACTAATATACCTGTGTGTCCTTCAGAAAACAGGCAATCCATAATATTTTATTGCTATTGTGGCTATCAATGTTATTCCTTAACGCTAGATTTGGAGATGGTGAAACTGGAATAGCCCTGTAAAAACTAATAGAGACAGCAGCTTGTACCAGCAGGAAAATCAGGTCTTGTCTGTTAGCACAGAACCTTTGTTAAGGTGGTGTGTGATGAGATTTCTCTGCTGTTTCCTAAAAATAGAGTAACTGGCTGTGTCAGTGATGCAGTGTCAGCATGGCTGTTACTAGGACTGGATGAACTATATAGACTTTTTTTGTTATTCACTAATCAGCCATTGACTAACTGATCTTCATTCCTCAGGATCCATTAATTTTTCAGAGACCTCACCTGAAGATTTAGAAGGAAAATATTGTCCATGCTTGTGAGCTGTTAATTGTGACTACTTGCTGCTTGTGATGTATAATTTGTGACTTCAATTGCATTGCAGTTTTTATGCTCCATGATGGGACATATGAATTATTATGCAAATTTAATCAGTGGAAACTGTAGCAATGACAAAATAATTCACTAATAGATGGACTGGAAAACAATTCCAGAATTACCTCCTTTTAGTTCCATATAATGTGATGTCTAAAATCCATGGATAAATGATTTGAAGTAAAGGCATGTGAATACAGCGTATCAGGACAGTTGTCACTGTCAACCAGAGCATTAGCTGTGAACCAAAATAAAGTAGTAGAAGATAAAACAAAGAAGGTTTGTTTTACAAGACCTGCATTCCATGTAATCATATTGATTATTGTTAAATGCACCTGAAGTGTTCAATTCTATGTTATGGGCTTCTAAATGAAATTTCTCATTATGTGTCCAGGTTCAGCATCTGAATAACACACCTATATTTTCCTGTATTATCTCTCTGCTCTTTTAAAATAATTGGAATATATTGGGAATTCAGAGGTCTTTGAGGTTTTTCCTGTTTTCCATGCTGTGTTTCCCTCTAAGCTGTTTGATTTGTACATCTGTAATTGCAGCTGACTCTGCATCATATTTTTATTCATTCTAGATGCCAGGTTTTCTGGACCATCTACAGTGTTTTATTGGGCAGATTTATCCTCCTGCTTCCTTCTGAAATCAGAAGAGAAATAGTGATGAACACATCTGTCTTTTCTGAGCTGCTGTTCAAATTTGTAATAGCTGTTTCTAGCAAAATGTAATACCTGTTTCTAGCAAAGGACCAATATTTGGTGCAGAAATTTTTTACTCTGTTTCTTGAATGTTCCTTCTAACTATGTTGCCCATTGGTTTTTATGATATAGCTGTTTTTAGCAGGGTACATGCTTTTAAATTCACAGTTAATTATCCTTTTTCTGCATTCTCTATATTTTTATTGCTAATATTTGACTAGAACTTCTGCATCTTCTATATTTCACAATTTTTTTTCTTTCACAGCATGAATTCTTTTCTTCCTTCAAATTTGCATCTTTTTTCTTTTTTTTTTTAAATTACCCAGTAGAATGTTCTTGAACAATTTCCAGTTCCTATTAATATTTCCCACATTAAATTGATGTTCCTAGCATGTTAAACCAACAGGGTTTCTTAAGCTTGGACAAACTGTCCCTTTCTTTTTCTGAGTGGTATCTAATTCAGTGTGCATGAAGCAGATGAGAGAGGATTGTGATTACAGGTAGCCAAATAGGCAGGCCTTTACCATCTTAAGGTGTCTGTACTGGCTACAAGATGCCTATGAAGGCAATGGTCCAGTGGGATGCAGGAAAAAATACAGAACTTCACCACTATAGGTATGTAGTTTATAAATAAATAAATATATGTATGTAGTTTATACATAAATATGTGCATATTGGGGGTGCATGCTCAAAGGTTTTTTAGTGATAGTGGCTCACAAAAGCAAAAGTCTAAACTTTTGTTTAGACCAGCACTTGATAAGTAAGTACTCTGTTAGGTTTCAGTGATCCTTAAGTCATGATCAGCTTGCACAGCCCTGGCTTGTCCTGGCCACTGTCAGATGCTGGGATAGATGGACCTTCCCTTGGAACTATCATGACTCCTTATATACTCTTAATCAACAGAATTAAAACCTTCTGCAATGGTGGCTCATCTGCAGCTTTCTGAGAATATGCGGGTTTTGATTTAAACTTTCTTTCTCCCTCTTCCCTCCCTACTGAATCTTTAAAATGGTCCAGTCATAAATCACCCTTCTACTAATCAGTATTGAAAACAAACCCATTATACAATATTTTATTTTTTTTTCCACAACCTAGTCTGATTGTAATAAATATACAGGCAGTTACAGTGACATTCTTTGCTTTATATATTATGACATGCGGGTTTCTGTGACTGGTTTGGACTCCACTGACTTGATGGTGACAATCTCAGAGCTCTGTGAGCTCTTCACAATATTGGGGGGACTATAATTTGAGATTTAAATCAGTAGTCCACTTCCAAAGAGTTCCTATGGTCGAGAAATGTATAGGTTTAAAACCAATATTGAGCCAACTAGACTTCTCTCTCTCTAAGTGCAGAAAACACATTAGTTTTGGGAGGATTTACTTTTTAGGCCATCTTAACATGCCTTCTAGCCCTGCAAACCTGATGGGTTTTGCAGTCCTGGCTGAGTCTGATCGAAGCTGACATCTGTGGGCTTCTGTGAGGAATGTGGGAAGAACGTACTAAATATGTCAAGTTAGAATCTCCCCAAGCAATTTGACGATTGCTAGTTCAAAAGCACCGCTTTGGAAAAGTGTGCTGACTCATGGCATGAGAGAGGAAGGATTTTTGTTTTTTAAAGCAATGGGCTAGTGTATGGTAGGATCTGGATTCACTTCTTAACTTTCTCAAAGTTGCCACGTGACAGAACCAATTTCCAAAAGCCTCTGTCCATAAATCTTCTCTCCATACAGCAACTATAATATTATTTTCCTCTGTCTCTTTTCATTTATTGTAAATGTCTTTTGACCTGGAGGTGTCTGTGGATCTCTCCAATTAAGTAAGTGAAGAGAACTTGGCATAATGGGCCCCTTATTTCAACTGGGAGTTCTGCAGGCTACTCCTGTGCAAATAATGTATGGCATTAAGAGTCCAAAAAGTACCCATGTCTATTATTGCTTCTATTTGATGCTATGTGTATGCAGCAGATCTAAAACTTCAGCCAAAGTATCCTGACAGCAAATGGGTAAATAATTGTTTATTAATATCACTGCAGACCTGTAAGGAAGGGACAGGAATCACAGAATCACAGAATGTCTTTGGGTTGGATGGGACCCTTTTTAGTTGAATGGATCCAGTCCCACATTCCTATAATGGGCAGGAGCACCTTCCACTGGACCAGGTTGCTCAAATTCACATCCAGCCTGGCCTTGAACACTGCCAGGGGTGGGAAGCCTTCTTTCTACATTGAAAGTCTACAACCAGGTCTCTGTGGACCCTTCTGTTCTCCAGGCTGAGCAACTCCAGCCTCTCAGCCTCTCTTCATAGGAGAGATGCTCCATCCCTTTGATTATTCTCATGGCTCTCCTCTAAACCCTCTCCTACAGGTCCAAGTCCTTCTTACACCAGGGACCCCAGAACTGGGCAGAAGGAGCACAGACAAGATCCCAGCCTGGGAAATCCAGGTTAGTTTTAAGGCAGATGAGTTTCTTCCTCTTTCTTCTCCCATTCACATGGTCCCTGCTCTGGCCCAAGGAAAGGAAGGCACTGCAGAAGGAAGGTGTGAATGTGGTGTGTTGGTGTCCCTGCTGCTGACAGTTGTTCTGCCGTGTGCTGGTCACATCTGCAATGCTGCAACTTAAATGATACAGTAGCCCAGACAGAACCAGGCATTTACTTGAGCTGCAAGAGTAATGCAGTATAGAAAAGTGGAAAATGCCAACACCAAATAGTATTTTCCACCATATTTATTGGATTTTGTGGATTTTCCTGCCCCTGAGAGTCCAGTAGCATGATTCTGAAGCCCTTTATTGTTGCATTAACAACTCCGTCTGCTGGGAAGAGAGGCTGATTTGGAGGCCTGGAGTAAAACAAGCTTTTTTAAAAAGGTGTCTTGTTTCATTAGAGAATTTGAAGATTTCAGTTAAGTTCATGACATATATTTTAATTTATATATTACCTGCATTTATCTATATTTTTAGTTTCTTGGGTTCAGCCATCCTTGTTAACTTACCTTGAAAAGTCTTTCACTGAAACCTATAACCTAGGTTCAAAGTGGGTGTAATTCTGCAGCTGAACATGCAATGCATCCTGATTCTCTTTCCAAAAGACTGAAATGTGCCAGCTTGCCCAGTGGATGGAAATACTTTCCACTGTGTTTGCCTCAAGAGATCAGTTTAAAACAGAGTGTCGTTGCTTCTGTAAAATTTGAACCCAGAGCCCTCCAGCTTTGGCATTTTATTTTCATGATTTAAATTTGTTCCCCAACTCCTTAATTTCAAAGGGGCAGCAGTCTACCAGAGTTTCCTTTAGCAATCAGACAAAAAGCAGATGTTTGTGCTGAATATTGCTCTGTACAGCAGGCAGGAAACTTCATGTAATAAAATTACTCAGTGTGGAAATTCTTGACTGTGGCCCAGTTCACAAAGCTTGCAGAAAGCCCTGTCATGAGTTCGATCATGCCCTTCGAAATTAAGGATAGGGGGAACAAAGTTAAGTCATGAAAATAAGGTCCCAAAGGCTGAAGGGCTCTGGGTTCAAATTTCTCAAAAGCATTAGGACTAGGTTTTAAAACTGATCTTTGCAGTGAACTGTGGCAGGAGACATTGTCAAAAACTGGGCAAGCTGGCACAGTCTAGTCTTTCCTCAAAAAACAGGAAAGCAAACATAAACTTCTGAGGCAACAGGCTTTTTTTCCATTAAAGACTTTCTTTAAATGTTAAT